AGAAAAATAATTCAGAGCAACACAAGGGGAGTTGATCAGCTCAAAGAACAGATTGTAAGGGAAAAAAGGGGGGAAAACACGTAGTAATACTGCCAGTCAGAAAAAGAAAAATGGAAAGTGTTACAAATAGCTCACTAAAGTCTCGGATAGCTGAGCCAGGGAAGAAAAATAAGGGAATAAAACCCCACAAAATAAAACATGGCTAGGGTACAGCAATTATCAGAGCCCAGGCCAAAAGAGTTCGCCTGTGCAAAGTCTTAAATATAAAAATAAAACTGCCGGTTAGAAATGTGAGCAACTTAAATGTGGCATCTGCCATTTACAAAGGGAAGACATCAGGAGTGTAAAACCATTTTAGGAAAGAAGGAGGTTCAGAGGCTCAGTTGGCTAGGCTAAGCCAAGCAAATGTAAAATATTTATTTGGTCTCAAACTGTTTGCAGCACAGCAAGGGACTGCAGATTTTTTTTTAAACTGTTAAAAAGAAAATGTAAAACGTAAGCATGAAATACATTGGCTTTTAAAAGATTCCACTACAAATCTAGCCAAATCTTTCATTCAGAGTTGCAATGCTGACCCAAACTCTGTTGGGGCAGCAGCCAACATCTCCTGGCAGCCTTAACTTTGTTTGTTAACACGTTGGGCACCTCAATGCTTTTACAATGGTTAAACATTTAAAAAAAAATTAGGTTATAAATGTTAACTGGAAATTAGTAAATGAAAATAGGGACTCAAAGGGTGGCCAGAACAAGGATAGACGCTGGATCCCTTTTTCAGTAACAAAGCAACAGCTGAAACAGTTGCAGAAAAAATATTAATAATGTATTATATGTATATATAAGTAAATTGACATCACTAATATAATGTTATGGCAAGTGAAAAATGGAAATTACTTATGAAAGCAGTGTGCATTCCTATGGAACATGCAGTGTACACAGTGAAAGGGGTAAAAGAAATGTGAATGTGTTACTTCCGATAGGTTGTATTTTCTTTTTCAGATAGCTGTGTGCTTTGAAAGGAGAAACCAACCCAGCGCCAAGGAAAATCAGTCAATATAAGCAGTGAAGCCCAATCACCATTGGAAAGTGCCACCCAAATTCTGTTTTCTTTTAATAGGTTATTAATTATGGATGATGGAGCAACTTTGAATAATGCCCTTCCCATTCACAAACATGGCAACATTTCCTTTTGAAAATTCTATTCAAAAGTTTTGTTTAACTGTGGTGTAAAATAAATGCCACTAAGGGAATAAACACAAGAATTATATGGTAGAGTTTTGTAAGTCAGAACAAACGAAAGAAAACAAAAAAGATTAAAGTGTTTTAGACTGCAAACAGGTCCATAGTTTAGGGTTAAAATCTACCGGGGGAAATATTGTACAGAAATGTTCAATTTCATTATGTGTCAGTGTTATTCAATTTTACCAATTAGCAGTTACCTAAAGGACTGTGCTCACTGACGTGCTGGCTCACTGATGTGCTCACTGACGTGATTGTGCTCACTGATTGTGCTCACTCACTCACTCACTGGGACAATATAATTAAGAACCGTTGAAAGGACTTTCTGAATACAAATGTCTACTTTAGAATGGTGTAAAACTTTCAAGGGGGAGCAGCAATTACAACAAAAGAAACTTAATAAGACTGTCACAAGAACTGGACTGTTTCCAATTGACATGTCACTCTGAAACCAAGCTGACACAAAGATGCTGTGGGAATGTGGCCAAGCATTTCAACAGAAGATAGCAGCAAACATCTCGCATCCACTGAATGAGCAAAACCAAGAATTCATTAAGCTTTGTTATCTGTATATAATATACATGATATTGTAATTTATTTTAAGGAAGTACGGGATTAAATCACTGTGCTCCAATAATAACATGCAGCATGGGGGATACATGCTATACAAAGTAAAACCAGCCTGAAGTAATATGGAGCAAGAAAACTTGCCCTCTTTTATTTCCACAGAAAAGTTAAAAATGTAGAACAAGAGAGATGACACCAGTCGGTTCGGGATAAGGAAATTAACAAGGGTCCAATACCATGAAGTTAAAACTTAAGTCATTGCAACCTGTATGGTGCAGAAGGAGTTTGTTTTGCCTCCTCAAATATTGTTGCAAACTAATGACAAGGTCTGGAAAGCCCAAGACTTGTTCTGCTGTTTGAACCTGAGAGACACTAACAGGTATCATGCCTTAGAGACAGAGTCGCCAGCATGTGGGTTCATGCTGCCGGGCACAGTCTACAAATTGCACAGTATGGTTGAGATGCTGGGAAGCTGGTGGAGTAAAAACTACCTATGCTGGGAATGGCAAGTGTTGTATGGTGGCTGATGGGGAACACTTCCGGTATGGACCCAGGGAATGTGCTGAATTTGCTGTGGTGATAGATAAAAACACAATATACACACTGTTAGGGGATAAAGTAACTAAAATATAGGGAAAGTTAAAACTGTAGAAGGATGCTTTAAAAGTAGGGTGGCCATATTTCCCTACACTGAATACGGGACACCTGGTAAGATTACTCGTATTCAAGCGAGTCCAACGGCAATCCATCAGAACTATGCAGTACAAACGTTCAAATTAATATCAAGTTGATTGAGCCCCCGTTAAAAAGAAATACTGCATAGTTGGATTGTTTTTATTTGCCTTCTTATCTTTAAGGCTTTAGGGTTCACATAGGGAGAGGTGACATGCACGCCCCACCTCCCCACACACACACAGGGAAGGGGGTGGGATGACCTGGCCTGAGTCTTTGCAGAGCTCATCTCTTCCCCCTCACTCCCCCGTGGCTGGAAGCAGCTTGTCCTTTCCTGCCCACACAGTGTCAAAAGGTAGCTAACACCTCCAGGCTCCTGCTGGCCACTGACATAACCCAGCCACCTCCTGTCCCCCTCGGCTATCGCGTGGGCAAGAAGGGGTTAAGCCCTAAGGATGCATTGTGCACCAGGGCCCAGGGAACCTGACTTCAGGGACTTCAGTGAGCCCAGCTGGAGACGTGGCTCGGCAGGGGAGGGTGCCTAGGGGACGGAGCAGCCCCATGCTCTGTGGGGCCAGGACCCAAGGGGTGTGGGGTGAAGAGGGTGCTAAACCCCTGTCTGGGGAGCTGCTGTGAAGCTGCAGGTTCGGAGCATGGCCAGGTTGGAAATCGCTTCCCGCCATTCCAGAGGTTAGCTGAGGGGTGGAGAGGCTTCCCCGTCCCAGTACCATGCGGGGCTTTGGCACCTGCAGGGCGTGGCTCCTTCTGGCCAGTGCCCCGGGCCAGAGGGTCTTGGGCTTTCCCGGGGTGCCTGCCCAGCCAGAGGCAGTGGGGGAAGGAAAGAGCCTGCCGGCCAGGCTGCTGGTTAGCTGAGCGCTCAGACCAGGAGCTGGTTCTCTGCACAGCGCTGGGAGAGGGACACGCCCTGCCGGGCGGGATATGGAGGAGCAGCGGGGCTAGGGGGGGTGAAGGGGCAAAGCAGGGAGAGGACAGTGAGAGGGGGAGCACATAAATGGCCGCTGTGTGGCACCTACCCACACTCATCAGCCATCACCAGCCAGAAATGGGAAGGGAGGCAGGGCCCAGCTGGCCAAGAGCCAGCATGCAGCAGGGGCTGCGCTGATGCACCAGCAGGGGGAGTGGCTGTCCCCACGTGCTGCATCTTCACCCCATCACCAGCCTTACACACCCACCCTCATCATCGACCACTGGAGCCCCGCCACTCACTGCTGGCGGGTGGGCGGCTGGCGAGCAGGGATCCGGTCAGCAGCAGGACCCGCCAGTACTGATGGAGGGGAGACAGAAAATACTGGACAATTGGCCTGTTTCTAAGAAACACTTGGGACACCTGCAGGAGGGCTTAAATACGGGACTGTCCCTTTTAAAACGGGACATCTGGTCACCCTATTTAAAAGTAGTATTCCTCCCTTAAGCCTGGATCTTAAAATCCCTATTTGTAATAGCTAGGTAGTCAAGGCTACCTAGCTATTACATTCAGTAATGATACATTCAGTAGTGATACATTCAGTAATGAACTTGTAATTCATCTGGCTTAGGGAAGAGAAGAACTAAAACAAGGAGTTAGTAAAACACACTTTGGAACAGTTGGTACCCACCACCCAGCTCATAACCAACCAAAATAATGAGATAGGCACCATCATTGTGGGAGCAGTTAACCCTTTGTTGGCTATGAAGAGTAGGAAGCCTCCACCCTGTATGTAATTCAGATAGTCAGTTTACTTTTAATGGCTGTACAATTAGTAACCAACACTGCTGTACTAAAAAAGAAAAAAAAAAGGAGTGGAAATGCAGGCCTTGTGTGAACAATGAAAGAAAACAGAAGGAAGGAAACAGCGCTTAACAATGCACAAAGCATGAATTCACAAGTGGCCTTATAAATAATCTGTAGCTAGTAAATAAAAAGTAAGCAGAAGAGTCATGTGTGACCAGCTTGCAGCTTTGCTAACTAGCACATCTTGTAGCGTATGGACAGCTCATGATCTATACAGGGATTGGTTCATAAAATCAGTAAGCCAATCATAAAGCACGTGATACAATGTAGAATGTAATGCTCATGTGTTAGTCTGTTTTAGACTAGGTATATAATTGGATTTATAATTATGTACTTTGGTTTGTACTTGTGGTTCACCCTAACCCACCCTGCCACACCTGAGCCTGCTCACCTCAGGTATAGCTTCATGAAATGCCCATAAAGAAACCTCAGTGACAAGTCTGGATTTCAGAGAACTGGAAGAAATGTTCTCCCAGAACTGGACAAGGTGCTCTGGATAAGCCGAATGGAAGAGATCTCAGACTTTGGAAGCCCAAGGCTATGCAGAGCATTAACAGAGCTCTGTGCTGAAAAGTTGAATGTCACAAACACACTCTAAGCTAGGCTGAAGGAGAAGGTTAGAGAGAGTATGAGCAAACTTGGCCTCCAACCCTGGCCATGGCAGGGCAAGTGTAAGATCACACACAGCTGCTGGAGAAAAGAGCAGTTGATTACCAACTCATTTCCATCTTACCTTGCAGCTTCTTCAGGACAGCCACCTCCATCTTGAGGACCTGTTTGGGCTGCTGGGCTGACTCCACTTTCAGGGCCACGTTCTCACGGGTCAGGAGATCCATTGCCTCATAAATCTCACCAAAACCACCACCACCAATCTTCTTCAGCTAAACAGAACACAAAAGCAGGGCTTAGCACAAATAGGCAAGACCACGTCTGTCCATTTACCATCTCACAGCAGGAAGGAGCAGGGCACCAGCCCCTTCACTGTGCAAGGAGGTACTGGGCCCGCTCCCCAGGCTGCCTGCGACGTGACCACGTGTCACAATCAGGACATGGGTGGTCTGAGCTAGTGGTTAAAGCAGGAGTTAGGAGAGTCAGGCCGGGTCGGATACCAGGAGACCAGAGGACAAACCGAGGAGAATTGAGTGCCTGGAGGCAGGCTACCAGGAGATCAGAACCAGGACACAAACTTGAGAGCTGAACCACAGAACTGTGGTTTCCGTTTGCCAGAAGCTGGGAATGGGTCACAGAGGATGGATCATTTGATGATTCCCTGTTCCGTTCATTCCCTCTGGGGCACCTGGCATTGGCCACTCTCGGAAGACAAGATACTGGGCTAGATGGATCTTTGGTCTGACACAGTGTGGCCGCTCTTATGTTCTTAATGACAACCAGAGTCAGGCCGGGTTGGGATACAAGGGAGTCGAGTCACGGGAGGAGGAGCACAAGCAACACAGTTCTCCCAGAGCAAAGCAGATCCCAGCTGTATGGACAACTTCCTGTTCCTGCGCTTATATGGAAGCTGTGGACCAATCAGGACCCCCAGCATTCTGCCAATCTGGTGCCAGGACTGGAGTCCTCTGTCTAGGTTCAGCTGCTGTCTTAGCAGCTGTTAGCAGGTAGCAGATTGGAGCGTATTGCTCCTAAGAGTCCTGTGGATATGGGTCCAAGACCCATGGTCCCTGATACCACGCGTTCTCTGCCCAGGGAGGTAACAGCCCAGCTTCCCAGCCTCTCTGCAATGTGACCACCCCATCAAAGCACAGGAAAGTATTTGCCCAGCTTCCCAGTCTGTCTGTTATGAGCAAGAGTGGAGAAGGAAAAGGTGGCTTTTAGCCATCTTTGTGTTCCCTCAGTCTTGGGCTGATTTGTGTCAGGCCAGACCTAGCACAAGTAAGAACAGACTTAAGTCTGTTCTAACTTATGCGAGCTGCCCATGGCCCCATCCATTCAACATCTGGGGGTACCCCATTTTCCCTGGACATGGTGAAGAGAAGGCAATTTGCAGGCCATATACTGGAGCAATACATAACACCAACATTACTAGCAGACAGGACACAGACTCCAGTGAGAACCATCTGGCCTGGGACTGCCAGTTCCTTTCAGCTCCACTCTATTCAATGGAAAGGAAATAGCTGTTCACACGGGAGCTTCCCTAGCTCTCCAATACCATCACTGAAAGTGTGAGGATCAAGAGTGAGCAGGGCATGCTGGGATCAGCCTTTCTAGGCCACATCCCATATTAATAATACTTAACACATATATCACACTTCCCAAGACTATCTGATTAAACCTCACCAATGCCTTGGGAGGAAGGTTCATGGTATCCTCATTTTACAGATGGGGAAACTAAGGCAGGCTTTCAGGGGCTAAATGACTTGCCCGAGACTATCTAGTAAGTCAGTGGCACAATGGGGAACAGCACCCAAGATATCATGATTCCTCATGTTATTCTCATTCTTCTGTACCTTGTAGAATAAGGGAAGGCATAGACTCCATAGCTCAAGTTTGTGTCCTGCACTTAGGCCACCTCTCTCCTAGCAGAATAAATGGATGAGATCCTAGACAGGAGAATCTTTTCCCTCTCTAGCTAGCCTAGTCTTGTTAGACATCACTAAGGGGAGAAGACTGTAGAGCTAACAGGCCTAGCCATCAATGCTGCTTCCTTGTTTCACAGACAGTATTGGGAGAGGAAAGCACCTCTGTAGAAACAAGGCCTGGTAACACACAACCCTTGAAAAATACTCCCCTGGGCTCCTTTGAAACAGGCTCTTTAAATCCTGAGGCTGTTCATTCCGAGCGATCATTAGCATTGCCAGTCACAAGAATAAAACACGAGCAACCTTGCTGCTGTCTGGATAGAGTTTGTATTTCAGCCTGCAACAAGAACCAACCCATTCTGCTGCTGGACACCCTCACAATCACACCCAATGCTTAGAGCTCTGCCCTGGATGCCAAGCGTAAAAAAGTCACAATACTATCCTGCCAGCAATCACCAGTCCAGTCCCTGCTCTCGTAGGCAGCCCTGTCAGATAACCCAACCCGTAACTTATCAAGATCCATCTTAAGGCTGGTTAGGTGGTTTGCCCCCACTCCTCCTAGGGGGAGGCTGTTCCAGAGTCTCACTCCTCTGATGGCTACCAGGCTTAATTTGCACTCCCTCTGGCATTCCATCCATGAAAACGATCAGGAATGAAATAGTTCGTGTCAACACTGAAGTGTCATTGTGGACACGCCAACAACATTAGAGGGGTTGGGGGAGGTGTCCACATCTCAGTCATTATTTCAACATATCTGCACATGCAGTAAAACCTCTCTGCATTGATTACATTTGGTTCATACGTGGAAGGTTTTTCTTTGCAACCACGAGGGCTAGACACTGATTTTTAAGAAGTAAAAGCTTAGATTCTGTACAGTCTGAATGTGTCATGTGGATCTCTCAGGGTAGCCAGTCTCTGTGGATAGACTAAGCCCAGTGCCCCTGGACCAGAGCAGGTGAATCCAATCCAGCCAATTTAAGAGGGCTGAGCTACACCTATAAAGAGCTGCTAGTGGGCAGTCAGAGTGGGAGATGGACTGAGACAGATTGTGCCCTGGGAAGGGGAAGCCACACCAGAGTGGAACAAGGGGCCAGGGCCTCAGAGAAGCAGCCCTGAGCTGCTCCAGGAAGGGAGAAGAGCTGACTGAAACTGAGAATCTGCCAGGAGCAGGCATGCCAGAGACCCCAGGGAGAAGAGGTCCTGAAGCCCAGGGCTAAGGAATGAGTTAAAAGTCTGTTTTTTTCTGTTTGTTTGCTAACCTCTGTTAAGAAAATACACCTCCTGGAAAAGGACCGGGCGAGGCAGTGCATGCTTTGAGACTGGAGAGAAACCTGGGATGGTGACAATGGGTCACAAACACATCAAGCCAACGGGACACAGCCTGTGGCCATGTGTTTGATCTCCTTGCTCTGATGGCTACTACAGGCAGATTTCACTTTTATCCACATGCTGTAGCAAAGAATAACTTTAATCTCATTTTCGGTACTGAAGGAAGAAGCTGAGACTCTCAACTGAGTCCCAATATTACCTTTGGGTTGTCTTTTTTTTTTATTAAAACTAAGGCCATCATAATAAGCTGTTGGCCTTCCCAAGGGCGATATCTCTCTATCTATTTTTATGGAGAATTCCCCATGGACATAAAAATAGTTGAGACAACCCAGCCCAGAAAGAGCTCAAAATACTGACTATGATAGGGACAGAACTGGCTGCACCCTAAAGGTGCTCCCTCCAGAGCCACAGTGAGGCATGGCACATGGGCACAGGGAAGCTTACACTACCTCAGTCACTTAAGTCATTTCCTTGCACCATTAAGGGATTCTGCTGTTCCCAGCAGAATGCCAATAAGCAGGAAAAAAACCACTCCGGTGCCCTGGGTGCTAAAGAAACGTACGCACCAGTGCATTCATTATCACCCCTGCAAACGTACACAAACTGCTGCCAGCTCCCAGCCCTCCTTTTTTGAGCTCTGTTATCCACTCAGTCTCCTGTTCTCTGGTTCCACTTCCACGCGCAGCCCTCTACCCAGCTGGTCCCATCCCTGCCAGCAATGCCGACACCAGGTGTGCAGTGTGGATCCTGTGTCAGCATCCACGGGAGGGCTGGAACTGCCTCTCCGCCTCATTTCAAAGCTGTGCTGAAAACGCACTTACTCTCTAACGACAGCCCCTTTGAATTGCTCCCCACCTGGCCTTTCTATTTAATGTTGTAGCTGGCAGAGCACCTGGAAAGACAGTTTTGTAGGAAAGACCATAAGCAGAATGAAATTGAAATATATTGCACTTCCTTTTCCTTTTGGTTCTTCCTCCCTACGGGCCCAATCCTGCCATCCTTACTCAGACAGGGCTCCCATTCAAAGGGGTGATAAGTAAAAATTGCATAATTGAGCCCCATAGAACTGGCAGAGAAGAAAAAGGATTTTTGAAAACACCCCTTATTTTGTTCTCTTTGACGGGTTATCTGCAAAGGAGAACACAATTTGGATTCAGGCCCCTTTTGCTTCTTCACAATGAGTAGAGAAGCCCTGAAAGGGAATTGGGGTTTGATGGGGTTAGGGTTTTTTTCAGTTTGTATCTGCTTTGGAAATATCAGGACTCTCAAGTCTTGCCCTCCCTGTCTGTGCTGGACATCTTCTTGTAGGACCAGACAACTGGACAGAGACCTTGCTCTGAGCTGACAGGCCAAGGCTGCTGGATCTTTAACAAAGACATCACTCTTCCCCATGGTTTACTTATATTATTCTATTAGATAGCGGCTAAATAAATAAAAAGCATTTGAAATTTAACTGAAAATCTTTCCCTCCGATTGCTCAGATTTTACTTCCTCGCTCTCTGTGATGTCACGACCATGCTAGTTCTCCAATTATCCCCACTCTTCTGGCAAAAGCAGGTTAGTCAAGACCTACATTTACTATGTAAAAAAGTTGCAGAAAAAAGCAGACAGAAGGATAAAAGGACAACAATAATTCCTTCCCCACTGTAGGTCACCTTTAAGTCTCACCCGATGCAGTAATACAAAGCATTTCGTACAATGCACAAGGGGCCAGTTTATGCCTGCTAAAGGAAACGTAATTTTAAATTTTCTAACTTGAGCACACATAACATCTCAACCTTATTGTTGCATCACCAATTTTGTTGCACCGAAGGTATTTATTTAAAGTTCTTTCTGACAAAGCACTAAAACAAAACATCCCAATGCCACGGCTGTGTCCTCCACTGAATACCTGCAGAGCAGCAGTTTGCAGTGACCCACAACATGCAGTGCTGGTGCCAAACCGGGAGACTTTAGGTGCTAAAAGTCCGGCAGCACAGTGGGGCTAAGGCAGGCTTCCTCCCTGCCCTGGCCCT